TTGTATTTTCTTTTCTTTTTCCTCTCTTCTAAGTTCTTCCTCTCTTTTTGTATTTTCTTCCTCATGCATACTCTTAGGGATTCTAACCCCTTTGCCTATTTGAGACCTAGTTGGAACAACCTTAGGTTTGGATCCACTAGTTTTTACAACCAATTTTGCAAGTAAATTTCTTACTTCCTCATTATTCTTTACATTTTCTTTTTCTCTTCTCCTAAGCTCTTCTTCCCTTCTTGTGTTTTCCTCTTCTTTTTTTCTTATGTACTCTTTTAATTCCCTAAGTGGATCCCTAATACTAGGTCTACTACTATAGGAGTTATGACCATGTACACTAGAGTGATCACTCATCTTTGATCAAGAAAAGGTTTTCACAAATATGTTTCAAAAGGTTGGCCCAAAAAGGTTTTCACAAAAAGTGAGTGATGAAAGTTTTCACAAGTATTTAAAGGCGGACCAAAATCCGTCGGAAATTTCCCACGGATTTAGATCCGTGGGAAATTTCCGACGGAATTTCCGACGGATTTTTACATGAAGGAATTTCCGACGGACTTTCCGACGGATTTAAATCCGTGGGAAATTTCTGACGGAATTTCCCACGGATTTATATCCGTCTGAAATTTTTTACGGAATTTCCCACGGATTTAAATCCGTCTAAAATTTTTGACGAAGTTTCCCACGGATTAAAATCCGTCTGAAATTTCTGACATAGTTTCCCACCTCTGAAATTATTAAATAAAATTTAAGCCAATTATTTTTCAAATGCAACCAATCCTAATCGCATCAATACACACAACAATGCACTATATAATATTTTTGGACGAAATACATGCTATTCGAAGTGATCATGCTGAAGGAATATGGGAAAACATTCCAACCTAATAGGTTTCTGTTTATGTATTATTTGTTTTTTTATTAGTTATTTTGTTGCTATATTGTTATTATCTTTTTTACTTTATTTGTCTATTCAATTAATTCATTGTTTTAATAATGACAGTTTAATTTTTTCAGGATTATGGAGGATTCTGGGTCTGGCAGTGGAAGGAGGGAAGGTAGATCTGTCACTCGATTGTCTGGGTTGACAGCTGGGCGCATTGCCAAGGAGAGGACATCGGTTGAGGTGGATCCTCGTTCTGGCAAGGCATCAGGCCCAAATGCTGCCAAGTTTAAGAGCTATTTGGGAGTCCTAGCTCGACGACATGTTTCTATTATCATTCCATCATGGGATGACGTTCAGGAGGTTGACAAGAACCTCATGTGGCAGGATATTCAGGTATATACTTTCACATCCTTTCAATATTATATAACTTAAATACATTATTTATTATTTGTTGTTATTTTCATAGCAAAATTTTGACATTCCCAACACTGAGGGCATGAGGAGGAAGATGTTATCTGCCCTTGCCA